AAAAAAAAAAAAAAAAAAAAAGAAAGGTAATGACTTTTTTTAGCTAAAATAGTGAAAGGTGTGGACATTATGTATTAATTACTCTTTTACTAATTTATTTGGGATTCATTTGCGTTTTTTTAAAAAAATTTGAGATTATAGTTACAATTAATTCTTTATTTTTCTTTCTCTTATTTACAGAGAGAGTATATTAGTCATTTTACAATTTTTAATTAAGAAAATAGATTAAATGAATCTTCACGCAATGAAATATGGAAATAAGGGTGAAAATGCAAAAAATTGAAAGGTATGAACGTTTTCCATAATAACAGTGAAAGTGGAGACGTTATGTGCTAATTAGAAAAAATTAGTGAGGACCGAGGTCCAGGATAGTTTTGGTTAGAGTTTACGGAAGTGAGAGAATGCGACATTCCAACAATTCATTATCGTCCTGGAAATTCCTATACGAAATAGAGGCAGGGCTTTTGATGATTCTGTTGTTTTTGCCACTGAATTCTGGGCAGAAATCTTACCGCCAGCTTCACATGCTTTATTTTTTCTGCTCAATCACGAAGCACCTATTAATAAATCTTCATTTGTTGGATAACGATTGGTGATCGATCATGAAGTTTCCCATTTTTTATTTATTCATTTTTCGTATGTTGGCATGGTTCCCTCTCTTTTTTTGGTTGCTTACAGCAAGTGTGATAAGAGGCTGGGGACGGTTTGTGTAGCATAAAGTAATCTTTGGATGATGATATTGTTGAAGCATCAAATATTGATTTGAACTTGAGCCCATAAGTCTTCATTTCAAGTCATCCCTGAACATTTTTACTGCCTTGTGTAGTTGGGGAATAGAGATTCTCAGATGAACCTCTTTCACTTTGGTTTCTTAGATTTATATTAAGAAATGCATAAATGTTCACAAATAACATCTAACCAGTAGTTTTTACTATTCAAACAGCTCATGAAGTTCTACTGAAGATATTTCGGATGTTGCATCTGCCAACTCCTAGTAGACGATATGCCATCAATTCAATCAAACCCCATGTCCAAATCGAATTGTTCTCACGTTCTCAATGATATCCCCTAAAACCAAGTAGGACATCAATTCAGTCATCTCAAGTAATACAATTTTATTACACAAAAAGTCTCAAAGACAGACCTAATTATTATCTATCACGTTACCCTATCCCTCCATACTTGTTCTTGAGCTTATCCAAAGAGTATTATTCCATGTAATAATCTATCCATTTGATGCAGGAGGATCCGAGTCAAATGATGTCGAGTTGTCCAATAGCTCGTTGATGGCGCTTAGATACCATGAGTTGGCGGATCAGTGCAAAAATGACAAGTAATCGACGATTTTTCCTAATTGAGGCCATTTTTGGACAAGTTTCGGTATTTTGGCCATAACTTTGGTTACGATTATCAGAATCGCGCTCAAAACCCCAATTCGAAAAGCTATTTTCGGCGCACACGTCGTGGTTATCGAAGCTCAGTGTGCACAGATTTCGAGGGCAAAATCCGCAATTTTCCCTTCCAAATCCCTAATTTTAGTTTTTTTCCCCTTTTTGGTAATATTTTGTTTACCTTTTTAAAATAGATTATGAACTCGATTTAAGCCAGATTTTGGGATATTATTTCTTTTGTTACGTACTTTCTTTTGACATGAATATTGAGATTTTGCTATTTTTGATAAAATTTCGATAGTTACGATTTTCTAGTTATTTAACACGGCTTATGTATTGTTTTCGCATGTTGGATGAATAATAAAGAATTTTCTTGTTTTCTTGACGTTTTCTCGTGTTCTTCCCTGCTAATTATCTGTTGAAACCAGCCTGCGGAATAATCGTTATTCTGCCCGACGTCACCATTCATCGTTCACCGACCATGAAGAATCACATGCTACATTAAAACCTTGATCTTCCACTTTCAACCACCACTTTATATGGACGCAGAATTAACCACGAATGTGGACAGTAGGTGATAAAATTCAAAATAGAATATGTTAGGTTTGTGACAAAAAAAATTATATGATTTAGAAGTTTGTTGCATGAATGAAGTTTGTTTAATCTTGGTTTATAAGTACGATTTGATTAGGAATCAATTTTCATGGTGTGTTGGGAGTTTGATTGAATTAAGGACTTGGAGATGAAGTAAAATACCTTGGGACGAAAAGAAGAGAAAAAAATTCAGCATGCCCAGCGCCGGGCAAGGGGCGCGCGACGCCCCTGAACAATTCATTTACGTTATCTTTCATCTTCCATTATGTCATGACACTGCTTTTCGTTTTTTTTTTTTTTAACTCCTGACCCCAAGGGAGCCCTCCTGCTCCGGATTTACATCATCAAGCTGCTCCACCACATGGTTTGGATATTACAACACTTGGGTGCTCTGTCCGTGATTCGAACTCCCAACACTGGGGTTGCAAGCCCAGCCTTGCACTGCTTTGTGTTTTTTGTTAGCCATTTTTGGTGTAGTTTACGGAAGATGTCTAACATCTAACTCAATGTCAATAGTCAAAACGAAGGTTGTTAACTGATCACCTGGGAAATGTATTGTGCAGCAGATCATGTGAACGCCTGGATCGAAAATTGTGTCAAGCATAAAAAAAGACAGAAAGCACAAAAACCCTGATATCCTTTACTTTAATTTAATTTATTTCTCATACTCATTTTTAACCACACATTCACACAATAAAATATTCAATACATAAACCCAAATTTTTCTATATTTTTTAACCAAATATTCTTCAAAAAATACAATTAAAAAAAATATTTTTATAATTTTAAGGATGTCAACACAGGGGCAAAGAATCATCTATTGGAATTTGTATAGCGGGAGCATTTCTACATAATATTATGTCCTTGTTTGGTGATTTTTTTTAAAACTCTTTTTTTACGTACTCATTTTTTTACTACATTAATAAAATAAATATTCTGTACATAAACTCAAATTTTTTTCCCACTTTTTAACCACAAATTCTCAAAAAATTCACTATTCAAAATATTATTTTTCCCAAATAATGGCCACCAAACAAGGGCATATTAATGTAACACAGTATACATTTTTGTAATATATCAATAATTATTAGGGAAAATTGCAACAGCGGTTCCAAACCTTTTCTTTTTTGCAGACTTTACCTTAATCTTCACTTTGTGCCATAACATGTCCCAAATCTTTCAAAAATATGTAATAGAGGTCCAAATGGATGAACGTTGGTTGAATAAGAAAGTCAAATTTTGATTTATTTTGACCAAATTAAAAAGGGCAAAATGGTACTTTTGCTATTTTCCATATTAAATAAGTTAAAAAAACTAGGTTACAATTAAAAGTAAAGAAAATATGGTGATGAATGCACAACATGCTGCATTATTGAAAGAATTGCTGAGTCAACCCGACGGTGACTACAATGGTGGCCTTGGAGTAGAACTCACACACCTAGTGGCGACGGTGGTAGCGTTTGGCGTAGGTCAGGTCCGCGTGGTAGCCTCCAACTTGGCATCTTGGGGAGTTGACTGAGCCATGCTCCATTACGCTAGACCGACGGTAGAATCAATTCACAAAATCGTCCTTGGACGAAGAAAAATAAGTCCTCCCATAAGCGCCATAAGAGCGTGGGTCATAGAAATTAGTCAAATGGGTATTAGTATTTAGGTGGTGAAACGGGTGGTGGTGGTTGTGAAAAGTGACAATGACCGTAGCGGTGGCGAAATCATTAGGTGTTGGCTTTCGTGAAGTTTTAAGTGGCATATGGGTAAAAAATCTGTCGGTTTTGGTTAGAATCTTGGGTTGTTTCTTCGCCTGAGAACATGATCGTTGATGGATTCTCCCATTCATAGTCCACCATTGCTGGTCCATCGTTGATGGGTAGTTATTTTTCTTGGAATGAGTGGGAGTTGAGGAGGCGGTAGTGGCGATTTCAGATGGTTTCTCCCATTCATAGTCCACCATTGCTGGTCCATCGTTGATGGGTAGTTATTTTTCTTGTAATGAGTGGGAGTGGAGGAGGCGGGAGTGGCGATTTCAGGTAAGGTCACGCCGGAGAAGAAGGGTGGTTATACTGTTTTCATTTGGGTGTTGGGATGGGGTGGGTGGTATTTATTTTTATTTTTTTGGGTTTTTTAACTTATGCCTTGTTTGATATCCAAGATTTTCTAGGGAAAATGGAAAATGATTTCAATTTCCACTCATTTGCCTTGTTTGATAGGCAATTCTTTTTCCACATACTCACCTCACGCGCCTCTTTTCCTTGTTTTGCTTAAATTTCTTTTCTCATATTTTTTGTGGGAAAACTGAATTTCAGTATTTTTTTTTTGCAATGAAAACCAATTTCATAACCAATTGTAAAAAACTTTTAATTTAATGGACAATTTTCATATAAAACAAAGACAAATGAACACTAAACTTTGATTAAAAAATAATTTTTTAGGAATTTTTTTTTTTTTACTTTTTGGCAATTGAAAGAAATTTTATAATCAATTGTGGAAAAAATTATCAATTTAATGGACAATTTTCATATAAAATAAAGTCAAACGAACACAAAAAGATCCAAAATTTAAAAATTTTCCCGATGGAAAATTGTGCCAATCAAACAAACTTCATTAACAATTCTCTACAAAACAATTTCTAGACAATTACTTTTTCTGAAATTCATTTTCTTTTAACCAATTTTCCACAATTGCAATCAAATGGATCCTCAGTTTTTTAAAACTTATTTAATATGGAAAATAGCAAAAGTACCATTTTGCCCTTTTAATTTGGTCAAAATAAATCAAAATTTGACTTTTTTGGTCAACTAACGGTCAAATTGATGATTCTACTGCATATTTTTGAAAGGTTTGTGATCCGTGGTGACACAAAGTGAAATTTGAAGTAAAGTCTGCAAAAAAAAAAAAGTTTGAAACCGTGACTGCAATTTTCCCTAATTATTACGTGGAGGCAAATTCCTTAAGATAGGACATTAAAAAATAATTTGTTCCTTTTCAAAAAAATAAAATAAAATAATGATAATAATAATAACTTGTTACAAAGTGAAGGTTATTCTTATTCATAATTGGTCCAAGTTGGGACATTATTTTTTTTAACGACTACATGAAGATATAGAGTATCAATGTATTGACTAGTGAGGTCTTATTGTATCATTATTTTCTACTTGTTTGTGCATTATTTGATCAATTTGATATTGTTTGATGAGGAAGAAACCTTTTTTGTGTGGGTCATATGAAAGTTTGTTTTAACCCAATTAAAACGGTAAGTTGATCAATATTTTCATTATTTTGTAAAGAATAAGTGACTACAATAATTATCTTATGTGGTAATATGTTATTGGAGGCATTAATTTCCTATAATTCTGTTTAATCAAACAACAAATTAATGTCTCAAATAAAAATGTCACATAGGATGATTACTGCAGTAATTGATTATGAATAACATTATTCTTTTGTGAATTGTACTTGCATTACATTCTACTGTAACTTTAAAGAATCTCGATGGGGATAGTTTTATGAATCAGAAAATATTTCACTGGCTTGAGTTATTTAATATGAATATCCAATTATATACAAGATCGTGACAAACAAATTTGGAAGGATTTAGGGAGTCAGTTTCCAACGGCTAGTGAATGTTATGGAAAGTATTATTTGTTATAACTTTGTGATCCTAAAATTCTGTGAGAGGCTCTTCATATAGTAACATTTTCTCGCTACGGCATTGCCTTGAGTTATTTAATCAGCATTAATTTGTTACTTAATTTGCATTATTTTATTGTTTCATAGTCACTTCTTTAGTGAGAGTTCATCAATGCTCGATTATAATCCATTCCTAGCAAGTGTAATTCCTAGATGATATCCCTATGAGTGTATACAAAAGCATTACTCGTAGAGCAGAGTTCCCGAAAGTCATCGGCTCGAGCCTTGGATCCCTTTGTAAACAACAAGGAGGTAGTTGTAACTCTTGCTACTTTCTATTCCTATGTTGTATTAATGGATAAAATCTCACATCAAATAAAGATGAAAATATAGATTAATCTGTATATGTTTGAGTTACTCCTCTTAATAAGGTTGATATTTTAAGTCTTAACATGATATCGGAGTTCATTAAACTCCAACGAACAATTTGATTCGATTAAGACTAAAAAATAAATACACGAATATCAAGATTGGTCTACTCGAATGAGTAATATATAAATCTTATCATATCATTCAAAGTAGAAAATATTAATATTCTTCCTGAAAACTTCATTATATGAGAACAATTTCAAGAAGTTTCTTATCTACTTCACATAATATTATTCAAAGCAGTTTAAGACAATGAAATAATTGAGTTCTTCTAATATTTTTTAAACATTATATAGCCAAACTAGGTTTCTAATTTTTTAATTGCCGAAGATTATCCTCTTGATACTGTTGTTAGGACACCGTTGTCAGAATATATAGTAAAGCCACATGATGCAACATATGTATCAAAAGGGATCGAATATATATTACTCCCAAAACTTTAATCAAAGAAGCATTTGTTTGGAAGATAAGTAAGAAGCACGCATGATTTCTTATAATTTTGGAGATGTAAGATTATTTAATCGGATAAGTTTAATGGGCTCTGATACCATATAAGAATGACCTCTTAGAACTTTATAATTCTATGTAGAACTGGAAATCTACGTTCTTTGATATAAATTATTTGTGTTCTCGTTATACCTTAATTTTGATGATGTAAAATTTTTTTTTATCACATCTCTTGATGTAAATCCTTAAAACTTTGTTTGTCCCTATCTTATCATGACCATTCAATTGAAAACAATAATATATATAATTCTTCCTGAAGGCTTCATGATAGGGAACACTTTTAGGAAGTTTCTTATGTATTTCACAGATTGTTTTCAGAAGTGATTTAAGACACTCCAATAGTTTGATGGACAAATACAATGCACCAAGCACAAATAAAATAATATTTCCTCCAATTGCATCAATTATTCGACACCAAAGGTGAAAAGTTAAACTCTATAATGTATGAAAACACATGGCTGATCAGGTTTTCATTTATATATTTTAACTCAATTTTATATTCATATAGAAATTGAACAAGATGATAGTGGTGGGGTCTTTAGCCAACTGTGTTTGTAACTTTTTTAGTTGCCGGAGATTATCCTCTGGATACTGTTGGTAGGTCTTTCTATACTCCAGTACTGTATGCATAAAAAAGGGATCATAACTCTTAAAGCTTTAAGCGAAAGAAGCATTTTTCTGGAAGATATTTAGGAATAATGCATGATTTGTTATCTTTCTTTCATGATTCAGCCTATGATAGAATATTGGAGAAGTATGACTAATTTAGCCTCGGTTTGGTAGATATCAAAATTAGGTTTTTAGTAAATTTTGATAAAAACTGATGAAATGTTTGGTTGAAAAGTTGTGGATCTTATGAAATGAGTGGTTAAAATTAATTGTCGACTTTGAGGGGCTTATTGCTAGGTTATTTAATCTAACAAAAACAAATTTTGTGAATTTAAAGGAAACTGATTTAAGATAACTTCTTCAAGAAGTAAAAATCATTCCGAACGAGCCATACTTTATTTACCATGCGAAGGCATTAAAATTTATCCTCACAAATCTACTTAATATTTTGTCAATTTTAGGCTAGAAAATATGTAGCAACATCGTTGGCTAAAGTGTACGTACGGTCACCCAATTTCGACACAGCAGTCTTGTAGTATTCTATCTTGCAAACTTAAGTAGGGTTTTGGAATCACAGAATTGGAACAGACAAATTTGTAAGTCAACAAAGGATTAAAACATGTATCAACCAAGTCAAATATACGTGTAGGACTTTAATGTACACATTACTTATCCTACATTCGACGTTTTACAGACAGACACTCTAAAATTTACTGTAGGCATTCAGCACCTTTGTGGGCTAAAGTTACTATATTTGAGAATTGAGAGTGAAAACAGATGAATGAAAGGGTTTGAATTTAAATATAATAAACGCAATCAATGTGCTTATAAATTATTTTTAAAGATTATAGTGGTTGGGTGTTATCTTGTATGTGGTTGTTAATAAAGATATTACAGGTCATCGAAGCATTGAGGGCCATAGAAATATCTCAGCAACCCTAATTATTTTCTTCTTTGCAATCTCCATTGAATCACAAGAAATTATGAGAATCTTGGATGATCAATGATTAAGATGTTTCCATTTCAACACGGCGATGAGCTGGTCTTTGAGCCTCCTTCTGTTATAAAACAAGATCAAATCCTGCCAGATCTGACACCGAATCATACTTTACTTGGTAACTTAAATACTAGGAAAAAGGGACAACAGAGATCATCAATTATTCAAGAAAATGAGGGTGGAAGTACTTTTCCTGAATCTGATATTAGGAAACTTATACACAGAGATGTTGAACGGCAGAGGAGACAAGGAATGGCTGATCTTTATGCTTCTCTTCAATCACTTGTTTCTCCTGAATATCTAAAGGTGAATTCATTACTGATAACAGTGCTTTTACTTTCACAACAGGAGCGATACACCAAATTAATATGGCCTGTTGTAATTTCTATAGATTTAGTTGCTTTACGTCTCGATCTAAAATGAACAAAAAGAAGCAGCAAATTCATGTAACTAATCTCAAATACATTGAGAAAAATGCTTAGTTTGTTGCTGTTTTAAGTATTTTTTTCAGTGTATATACCTGAAACATGGTGTTTGTGGTGTTTTAGGGTAAGAAGTCGATATCAAATCTTCTGCAGGAGGCTGTAAATTACGTAACAGATACTAAGAAGAATATCAAGATACTAAGTTTGAAGAGAGACAAGCTAAAAAAGTTGTCTAATACAAATAACCTTAGTGCAGATGTTGGAACTTCTTCCAGTTATTTGCCAAATTATTTAGTCACAGTGAACCCCTGCCTGGATGGCTTGGAAATTTTAATCAGCAGCAACTTCAAAGAGGAAGAATTTCGCCTCTCCAAAGTACTGAAAGAACTACTTGGGAGAGGTTTTAATGTTATTAACTGTGTTACTACAAAAGCAAATGAAAGGTCTCTCCATAGAATTCAATGTCAGGTACAATTTGTGGGAGTGATTGATGTACTTCAAGGATTAGGGCTTCATTTGTTATGCACTTTATTTACATTTTATTCCTCATATTCTTCCAGGCCAGCAATCTCAAATGCAATGATCTTTCCAGGATTCAAGAAAGACTGAGTGACGTGATTAACCTTTAGTCGTGAGAACTCTTAGGTGAGTGTGGATTAAGCGCACAAAGATCATCAGACACATGGGTTTGTGTCAGTTCCTAAACATCTGTGTCGTTCTATTTCTCATTTCTGACAAAAAGTACTTATCATGTGTACTTTAATTTCCAGTAAACAACTTGATGTGAAATGGAGGTTTATCTACTTCTATTATTTAAAGTGTGCTACTATTCGCATCTCCTTCCAACCATCCGTTCTGTATAAAAAGTTTCTTCGCTGCTAGAGTGCTATGTGGTGTTGCAACTAGGATTTTCAGTATTTAATTTGTTGCGTTAGGCTATAACATTCCCGTTTTACATGATTCATGTTTTTTAAAACCACATTCTTGTTTTACTGATGTCTCATTCTAGTCCAAGTCTGCTTATAACTCTATTTTCTGCTATTGGTTCGTACATTATTTTGATCAATTATTGATAGTTTTCCAATAAAATTCATTTTCTGAGGCATATGAATGGTTACGTTAACTGGATCAAAGCCTGTGTTGATACGGATATCCCTTTAAATTGGGGATTTTACGAGCATTATATATGTTTAAAGTTGCATTACTGTGACATATTCTTTGTTGTCTAATGTCACCTTTGTTCTGCCCTATTCATAGTTTTTGTTTGTACCATTATTGTTTGTTTGATACGTATAAGGTATAACTTAAGAGTGTTAGAAAGAAAAATAAGCTACAATTTGCTGGATTTTGTTGATAACCAATAAATCCGGCAATGATGTTTAAATGGTTCATTAATTTTCATAGACTTCGACCAAGGAGTGAAATGTTTATTAACATCACAATTGATTGGTTCGACCACGAAAATAAATTGAACCATTGGAAGCAACTATTAATCTGTGTAGCCCGTGACCCGTTCATTAGTTGGACGGTTCTTCTGTGAATTAGCCCACTTCGTGTCACTTGGATTTGGCCCATGTTGTGTGTTAGGTCCTTGTCCAATTTGTGTTTAGCCTATCATTAGCTGGCCCTAAAACTATATATACCTACTTTTGGTTGAGAGAAAAGTGTTTGCAAGAGTTTTGAAAAGGCGTTTTAGTCCATACTTTGGGTAACCTTGACCAAAAACCGCTCCGTGTCTTCTCATTCTTTGTGATATTACATCCAAACATATTTGGTGTTAATTACTTTATTGCTTTTGATCCAAATGTTTGTGATTGTTTAAACATAGAAATTAATTGAATTAATTACACTAATAATCTAGAGACAATTAATAAGTGAAATGTTACTTTTAATTGATTTAAATTCGCATTTTGGTCTAAACGATAATTTTCAACAAGTGGTATTAGCGCAGTATATACTCGGGGAATAATTTTCTCCGAGGTTGTTGAAAGCTCAACTTGTTATTCTCCAAGTTTAGCGACCGTGAATCCCTTCCTTGATGGTGTGGAAATACTAATCAGCAGCAGCTTCAAGGAAGGGTTCTCCATCTCCAAAGTGCTGACAGAATTAATTGGGAGAGGTTAAGTTGTTAGCTGTGTTTCTAAGGGAATGAAAAGTCACTCCATAGAATTCAGGCCAAGGAACAATTTGTGGATGTACTGCAAATATTAGGGTTATTTTACACGTCAATTCTTGATTTTTTTATACATTAATTCACGATAATTTAAATTCTCTTACCGATCATTAATCCTTCCAGGCCAGCAGTCTCAAATGCAATGATTCATAGGCTGATAGGCATTGCAAGAAAGACACAGATGTGATTAACCTCAGTCGAGAGATCTCTTAGGAAAATGTTTGATGCAGAGGAATATCAGAATTGAAGTCGAACTATAACTCAATTCTAATCACACATTCCAAACAACTAAGTCAACTACCAAGTCCTAATAGCAGGCTTATATATGACATTGACATAAAATGTTTATGGCTCCTAAATTAATATTAGAAAAGTTTTTTTATAATACTAGCCGGCATTATGATTTGGATGGCTTCTTCAATGCAAATACAAACGCCCAAAAAGTTAGACTTTCAAGTAGATGGCTATTAACAGAATCATCCTTGATAGTAATTCCAATACAAGTACTGCGTTCAACACTCTGATCTAAGCTGTGAGATCATATTCTCATATGGTCATTTAAGAGAGGCTTTACTTCTATATCTTGATTCCTAGAGATTCAACAGCATTAGTAGCCTACAATGTCTAATCAAATCGACCCTACTGTTGATCCCTACGGCTACATCGGCATTGCCCGGAATCCTGATGGCTCGATTACACGAATTTTTGATTTTTTTGCAAAGACTTCTGCTTGTTCTAATGATGATTCGATTCCAGTCCTCACCAAGGATATTCCAGTCAACGAATCCAGCGGCACTTGGATACGTGTATTCGTTCCCCGGAAGGTACTTGATTCAACCACCAAATCTAAAATGCCTCTCATAGTTTACTATCATGGTGGAGGGTTCGTCCTAGGCAGTGCAGCCGGTACTCTATGCTATGAATTTTGCACCAAAATCGCTGTTGAAATTCAGGCAGTGATAGTGTCGCCAGAGTATCGTCTTGCACCTGAGCATCGCCTTCCGGCAGCCTATGATGACAGCATGGAAGCCTTGCAATGGATCAAAACCACCAGTGATGAGTGGCTAACAAATTATGCTGATTTCTCGAAGTGTTACCTTATGGGATCTAGTGCTGGTGGCAACATAGCCTATCACGTTGGCTTACGTTCCGTTACATGCGTTGACCATCTCAGTCCTTTGAAGATCCAAGGGCTGATGTTGCATCAACCATTTTTTGGTGGGATCCAGAGGACTCAGTCAGAGCTAAGGCTGGCCAATGATAAGATATTTCCTCCGTGTGTGGCTGATGTAATGTGGGAACTTGCGTTGCCAATAGACTTTGATCGTGATCATGAATATTGTAATCCAACTGTTGGAATCAAATCGGAGCTGTTAGCAAAAATCAAGGGCCAAGGATGGAAGATTTTGGTGACAGGATGTGAGGGTGATCCATTGATCGACCGTCAGATTCAGTTGGTGAATGTATTAAAAGAGAAGGGTTTGAGAGTTGCTGGTGAATTTAGTGATGGGGGATTTCATGGTTACGAGTTCCATGATTCTTCTAAAGCTAAGATTCTGTTTGGAGTTCTTAAGAATTTTCTAACAATTTCGTGACTTTTTCTAGAAAATTGTACGCGGGTTTTGGTTCGTGGGAGTTTTTTGATTTCAAACAATTAGCTTTTTGTCTCATAATTTTGTTTTATTACAATAACTTGGGTGTTAAATTTGAAGGGTGTCAAATTCAGAACATCTTTGCTCATCTACGTATTTAGGGGTGTCAAATAAGGTAGAGTTGAGCCAAGCTCATGTTATGTCCATGTACCTGTATGAAGATTGTGTGGCACGATGTGGTCCATGACGGCCGGACCGAGTATTAGAATAATTATATTTCATTGATTATGAAATTTCATACCACGATCGTATAATTTTGTTTAAATCTAATATGTGATGCATAACTATAACTTAAATATAAATTTGCCTCTTGCTTTGTATTATAAAAAAAATTACAATACAGACTCCATTAATTGTTTTTTTTTTCTTTTTATCTTCATGTTTGGATTAAGTTNTTTTTTCTTTTTATCTTCATGTTTGCATTAAGTTCCTTGTCTGGCAATTTGATCGTGCATCTTCTTATCCCATTCAACATCAATCGAGTATGCTCATTCTCAAACAATACATGACGTGGGCTTTTATTACTTGACACGAGAACATATTACAGATCATAGAAGAAACAAGTACTGACTACAAATGTCAATTTGTTACAAAATTAGACAAAGAGCAAGCAAATGAGGTAACATGACACTACTTCTATTGTACCCAACATGACCACCGTACCAGTTTTCTTTGAATTTCATCTGGACCAAAGACTTGCGCCAAATTTATAGGTGAAGTCTCTCTTATTCAACTTTAGCCAGACATCTGTGTACCCCGTCGTTATTAACAACTCTAGAAGTTGTATTTTTTCTTATCTCCTCCTGAAATTGAAAGGTGAAACTTGAATTCCTTTACTTCTCCCTCAGCTTGGTAATTCGTCTTCTGCCTCTTTCTTCTTCTCTACTTTAATTCTTTTGATTTTTGGTACCAATTTCAGAAGAAAGCCTTATTTATTGCAAACAAATAAGTAGTATTATGATGGTGAACGTGTGGTTAAAAAATAAAAATAAAATTTGAATTTAAGTATAATATTATTTTATTAAAAAATATGTGGTTGAAAATAAAAAATAAAAAAATATATTTTGAAAATAATGGGACATCATAGCATTGGCTAGTCTATTAATTTTTGCTAATTGACATATATGGAGGTTGATTGATGGAAAACATTATTATAAACATTGGTAATTATTGATATTATAATCCTTAGTCGGCGTGGCTTATGGATCGATCCAAGTCAATAATGGTATATTCCCACGCTCCATTCTATAAAACAGGCTTCTTCACTTGTAATCAAGAAAACTTTGAAATCTTCATCCACAGCAAGTCAACTGCATCACCACTCTACCATGTCGAATCAAATCGACCCGACTGTTGATCCATATGGCCATGTGGGCATGGCCAGAAGAATTTTATAAAATCTCCGTGATTTTCCCAAAAAAAAAATGTCGTTTACATTTTATGTTTTATTGAAGTGATTGTAACATGATATAAACTTTATCGACCAGTTTGCAAACATCTATAAATCTTCCGACTTACGAAAAATTTTACTTCATTGTTGATGGAATTGTTCGTTACTAAATTATTTGTCCTTGGAGAGTTTTACGTACATCTCAAGAATGCTATAATCTCTTGTATTTAAATTTATTAGCTAAGTACTCTCACCGCATGAGAAATATCATCGTGTTCGTTAAAAATGAAGAATAGTCTTGTTTCTCGAAGTGGCATCTTTTACTAGTAAACGTTTCACAAGCTTAAACGGTCTATCCATGTGATATAAGGTAGACAAAATTTAGACCTTCAATTTCAAGGTTTTGCTCACTTTGCAACAGTCGATATGTTCGACAAGGAGTGCATGAATAAACGAATTGCTAGTCTGATTTATGATTATGATGTATACGATAATACCAAGAAGGACAACTTCTAAAATTGTCATTAACTTAATTCAGTTGAGTAGGTTGAATTGCTCAATCGAGTAGAGAATTGAATTAACCTTTACTAGATAAAGTTTTGACATTTCCGTGACTTTAATCTAGAACATACATTCTTTAGGAAGGTAAGAATGCATCGGAAGAAATGATGTTTTGAATAGTAATTTTTTGTAGAATGTGCGGTTAAAATTTGAAAAAAAAAATTAAATTTATATGTAAAACATTTTATTATGTGAATGTGTAGTTAAAATGAGTATGAAAATTTAAAAAAAAAAAATTGTTTTAAGGGTAATCAAACCCCTAAATTGGAGATGGAATTAGTAAAATGGAATTAGTCAACCTGTTTGGTGTAGTTAAAAATTGATTTTTAATAAATTTTGGTAAAAGTTGAGATATTGAAAAATGATAAAATGTGTGAATTCAATAAAATGTATTGTTAACTATGATTTCGATTTTTCATCAAGTTTTTAACTCTAACGAAATGTAAGGATAACAAGTAAGTAGTATTTATGAAGGTGTAGTTAAAATTGATATTTGATTTTGATTACAATTATGATGAAATTACACTTTTTTTTTACAAATAAGAACGGATAATTTCATAGTTGGGCTCAAATTTGAATAATAGAGGTAGATTGAAGTAACGTAAAACTTTATTAAACTTTTATATACATTTTCTTGGAACATCATTGTTAAGACGAGCACCGAGTGATTTGGTATACGGTTCTCAAAGACTCAACTATACTAATTTTTGTGAAAATGGAATAATTGATCTATGGACAAAAAATAACTAAATCGATCAGCTCTGATTCGATTTTTAAAAAAAATAAAAAAAATATGTAAACTTTCTTATTTGTGTATCACACGTATTGTTTCCAGAAAAATGCCATTTTGTCAAAATAAATTTGACACTGGTTGACGACATCTTCTCACATTTGTGGTGGGACCCACGCGAGACCCATATGAATTAAAAAAGAAAAAAAAATCCCCCTGACCCTCAATTGTGAGGGGGGTTGTCAGGGAGATTGTCAAACCCTTCCCGACAGTCCAGCAGTGTTCTTGTTTCAAACTAACGAAACTGTTGATTATTTCAAATATATATTAATTCATATAAATAACAATTAATTAAGAGATTATAAAAATGTATTTTTAATCAAATCACATTTTAGTTACATAGCTAGAATTAATAATTTTACTTGATTTTAAGTTACACAACCAAATTAACCAATTTTAATTGGAAGAGAATAGAATCGATTGATTCAGTTTGATCTCACCAAGATCTAATTGTTACATATAAAAATGCTCACCTTATCAAATCCGACTTTTCTTTCTTTCTCTACTTGATAGCAGTTGTCGCCGTGTAATTGTATTGGACAAAATTAAACATGATTAAATAAAGATACATAAAATATTTTTATATATTATTTAATTCAACGTACCGATATATCAAGAACAATTTAATTTACTTCCATTTTCAAGTTTAAAAAGGAAGAGTGTGCACACTTCTCAACATATATATTTAATGAGATTTTTTTTTTTTTAATTTCAAATCCGCATAGCACGTGCCGTGAACAATTTCACCCGATCCAAGTCTCCGTCTCGCCGTCCCATGTGCAGATATACAAGCGAATTTTCATTGGGGAATTTGACCATTTAACCTAGTTGGACAATGTATTTGGTAAAATAGCATTTGACCAATAATAAAAATAAAAAAAATAAAGCAAAATATTTTAGTTGGGAAAATGACAAAATTCTCCTTCAATTATCAACTAAAAATCCCTCAATTTCCCTCCTTTCATCCCGTCATTTCTCCTTCA